GCTGAAGTTGTCCTTGTGTTGCTTCACCTACACACATTATTCACATAATTCATTTGGGATGTCAATTTATGGTAATCCTGAAACCATATTTCTTCTCTTAAAATCTTCGATGTCTTTGAAGTTGAGATGATCAAGTCTATAATGCCATATCCATTCATCTCTACTAGCTGCAAGGCACTTATGCTCCATCACATTAAGTTCAATCTTGAAGGTTCTATTTTGAGACATATGAGCCTTCAAGATTAACATTCCTCCTGAGTCGAGAACTCTATCTTGTCTTCGATCGATACCTCGTAATTCTTTTTGACCAGTTGCTCTATGCTGAGTAAATTACTCTTCATGCCTTGTATGTATAATACATTGGAAATTATTGACCTCTTACCATCTTTCCTCATAAGCAAAACATCACCAATACCTTCAGCTGCTAGAGTATTGTCATTTGCGAATTTCACAACGTTCTTCGTTGAAGGCTTTATGTTGACATGTATGATGAACATTCTGAGTAAAAGTACCAGTGATCCTTGGATCTCTCTTTATCTCTCATTATAACCATCAGCAACATCTTTTCTTCTTCATGTTTCGCCAACTTTACATCACTTTCTTTATTCTTCTGCTTTTCAAGACAATCACTAGAATAGTGATCATACTTCTGATAATCGTAATACTGAATGTGACTATAGTCAGGTTTTTGACCACTACATCTTTCTCTACCTGTTGCACCACCTCTTTGGTTGCTCTAGTATGAGGACTTTCTTTGATTTCGACCAGTCAAATTGTTGTAGCCTCATTTGCCTTTGTTGCCATTCCAACTACCTTTGTCTTTCCTTTCTTTTGTTGATTGCGCCTGTAAAGACACGTCACGCTTCGACTTTCCTACAACTCTTTCAGTCATTCTTTGTTCATGAGATTCAAGCGTTCCTTGAAACTTTTCCTTTATCAATGTTGACAAATCTTTCGACTCTTCTATAGATACTATCACGTGGTCCAATTTTGGAGCTAATAACCTCAAGATTTTCGCAACAACTGATATTTATGTCAACACTTCTCCACATACTTTGATTTGATTCACCAATTTAGTAACCTTAGTGAAGAAATTAGTTATGCTATCATTGTCCTCCATCTGAAGCAGTTCTTAGGTTCTTTTGTGAGTTTGTAACCTCACCTCTTTCATCTTCTCTGCGCCTCCAAACGATTTCTCCAGAATTTCTCATGCTTCTATTCTACATCACTAACTTTTTTGAAATTGTCTAGATCAACACATTGATGAATTATAAAGAGAGTTTTATAGTCTTTCTTCTTCAGTTCTTTGTATATGGTCTTTTCTTGATCCGATGTATTTTCTGTAAGTGGTGTTACTCCTTCCTTCACAAGATCGCAGAGATCTTGATAACAGAAAACCACATTCATCTGTTTGCACCAATTCTCATAATTCTGACCCTCTAGAATTGAGAGATTCGCTGAAAAATGCTCGTTCTAAAGAATCATTGCCATCGCTTTTTGCTTCCACGAATCACAACCGGAGCTCTATATACCACATGTTTGAATTAACTCAAGACTTTGAATAATTCTGAACCAATCTTAATGAACAAAATTTAATCAACCGATCAAAATCCTTGTTCTTCACTCTTCACTTGAGTGAATCAATCACACCTTGATTGTAAGAATGATTTTGTGCAGCAATTATTAATAGAAGAAGAAAGAAAAATTGAATAAGAAAGAACATTAGAGTTTGACGAAAATTGATGAAGAAGAAGATGATTTCTGCAGAGTAACTCTTTGCTCTCAAACTGAGAAAATATTATTAAACTGCGCAACTGCACTTTCTGTTATGTGTTATAACCCAATTCATAATAATACAAAAGTTTAGAATTTTTATTTTTGTCTAAGTTGAAATCATGTGTCAAATAACCTACTTGATACTTCGACATCTAATGTTATTCGACACAAACTACAAGTTTCGACACATCTTTATTTCTGTCGAACACGATATATTTCAACACAAAAAATTACATTCTCAGCATATTATACCATAACTCTACACTTCGTGAGATTTTAGTTAGGGTCTATTTTTATAATTTTTAATTGTCATTAATCATTCTTACTCTTCTTTAATGCGACATTAAATCCGCACAATATATCTCACTTGATATAATAGATTATAGAGACAATATCAAATCCAAGAATGTTAATTTTCTGTCAATAATTAAAACCAGCTACCAAAAATTACTATTTAGTTAACGAACTTATATGTTAAATTACTTTACCATTCACGTATACTTATTGCCTTAATAACAAGACGATCTTTCTCTCATTTCCTATTATTACAACTCATTCTCCATTTACAGGTTTGCAGTTTCAATGCAAATATGCTCTCAAACTTCTATAGGGTATAATAGGTTTAAAAAATAGAGAAGAGAGAGTTAGGTGAAAGAGAAATAGGGATGAGGAATGAATTTCTCTTAATATAATTTGATTTAGAAGAGATATAAAGAAGAAAAATAGCGTACCTGCCACTTTTCATAATCTATCTATTCAAAAGAAGAAGAAAAATATGAAAAAGATAATCTTGTTAAGAATTTCACATATAGGTTCTATTAATTCAATATTCTTCAGACATTATTGATATTTTCAAAAAAAAATTAACATTTTCTTCTTCTCTATTCCTCCTATCCTATCCTTATACCAACAAATCCTAAAATCTTCTTTATTTCTCACCTCTTTCTCTCTTTTCAACCTATCTTTTAAGATATTTCTCTCTTTTTCTCTTCAACGGTTTATCATTTAAACATATTTAACCATAGTAATTTTTTGTGGTAGCAAAGGAAAAACTAAACAAATTATTCTCACAACCTTCCTTTGGATATTAATCCCCGTATTTCAGTCGACTATCTGCCTTCTAAAACTTCAGTAAGATCTTATTGCATGTAGATATCTTAAATAGTACTATGTCAAACTATAAAATAAATATTTAAAAAAAAAATTCACTAAACAATTAGATAGTAAACCTCACAGAAGTTATAATTGAACACCATACAGGGTCAAAAAAGCTGTGAAAGTGTATAACATTGGAAGGAGCTGAAAGATATAGGGTATACAGATAGAGATAGAGGTATACAATGTTGAAAATTGATGTTCAAATAACAGAATTCTTAACTATAGGATCCACCCAGTCATATATATTTACTGACTGTAGGACCAATTTTACCTAGAGGTGGCAATTAAATCCATTAAGGCAAAATCCATCCAATCCATCCATCAAAAAATCCATCCAATCCATCCACCAAACAAAAAATAAGTTAATGGATTGGATTAAATCCATCCATTTATATGCATGGATTGATTCAATCCATCCAACATATTTTAAGGATCCAATGGATTATTTTTATTTTCGTTAGATTTATTTCTTTTAAAATTAGATTTTTTTAAAAATAATTAAAAAACTATATTATTTTTTCTGAAAAAAAAATTTAATTTTTTTGAAAAAAAATCTGTTTTTTTTTTTCAGAACAAAAAACTGATTTGTTTTCGGAAAAAAAACCGACTTTTTTTTTTGGAAAAAAAATCCGTTTTTTTTTTCAGAATAAAAAACTGATTTGTTTTTCGAAAAAAAAAATAAAATTTTTTCTCGAAAAAAAAAATTTTTCTAGAAAAAAAAGCCGACGTTTTTTTTTTCAGAATAAAAAACTGATTTGTTTTTCGAAAAAAAAAATAAAATTTTTTCTCGAAAAAAAACCGACTTTTTTTTGAAAAAAAAATCAATTTTTTTTTCTGAAAAAAATCGGTTTTTTTTCAGAATAAAAAACTGATTTGTTTTTCGAAAAAAAAAGTTTAGAAAAAAAAAACCGACTTTTTTTTGGAAAAAAATCAATTTTTTTTTGAAAAATCGGTTTTTTTTTTCAGAATAAAAAACTGATTTGTTTTTCGAAAAAAAAACCGACTTTTTTTTTTGGAAAAAAATCAGTTTTTTTTTTCAGAATAAAAAACTGATTTGTTTTTGGAAAAAAAATATTTATTTTTACGAAATTAAAAAAAAAGTTGGATGGATGGATATCCATCCATTAAAAATATGTTAATGGATGGATTGGATGGATTTTATTCTTAATGGATGGATCGGATTGAATAATTTTAATAAAATTTTAGTGGATTTTAATGGACTAATGGATTGTTTTAATCCATCCATTAGCAATCCAATCCATATCCATCCAATCCATCCATTTTGTCACCCCTAATTTTACCCACAAAAAGATCAAAGATATAAATGCATGCAATTCATTAGTAAGGAGAATGTTCCTTTACACATGAATGCATCTATCCTCTCTTAAGTTATTTCATAAATCCTCTCAATCAGTCACAAATGATTATGACATGCATATATAAGCCATGCATTTAAGAAGTTACATATAAGCCATGCATTCAAATAAGCCGTATCATTTAAGAAATTGTACATAAGCCATCTGTATAGACAACATTTTTCTTTTTTTAAAAGATCAAACTCGGTCCTAAAAATTAGACTATCGAAACTCAGGACCAGTTGACGGACAGATGCTAGGACCAGTTGACGGACAGATGCTTCCTTCCCCTAATTTATGGATAATCATCCTTCATGTGCAAGTGCCGTGTTTGAAAGAGAAATCTTTCATCGAAGGTGTGTAGTATAGTATAGAAATAAGGTGTGTAGTATAGTATAGAAATTGCACAGGACAACATAAACATCTCATACACTACACATGAGTGCAACTAAACAACTGCAAGCAGTATGAATGGCAGTAATATAAACCACTAAACGCACAAATCTCAGACACTGACATCACCGTAACATTTTCAATGGCTTAATCTTTCCCATCAAGGCAAAATAACTACTACTAAAATTATCATATATACCTAGGGAGAGGGAAAGAAAACACCCCAAGAGGTAACATGAGAAATATCATGACACTTGCTTAAGGTGAATGGGACTCAAGTACTTGTCAATTTGTCAATTTGACTACAACAACGGATACTTAATTTTGACCCTGCCTTCCTGGGTGGTATGCATCCCTACCATTGGAATCTGTCCACACCCTCTCCCGAGCACGAGAAGAACCGACATTGCCTCTAACTTGGGAGGAACCCAAGGGATGACTATTCTCCGATAAAGGGAGCAGCAAACCCTGCCCAGCACGCTCAGCTTGTCTACTATGGCCAGCTCCTACAATACAGAAAATAACAGATTAAAATGACCCACAAATGGCATCTGCTATTTTGAAGAAAAAATGAAATTCAACAGACAAGGTATATTAGCACAGAACAATCTCATAAAATACTATACATGACTCTGTCCATGCATTGAATTCTACATGGTTTTTCTGCCTTTTCATGTAAAAATATGAAAAACAGTGAGACAGGAAATTTGGTAAAACAAATCTTATGAGTATATTATTATTCACTAATCATAATATATCAATTAACTGCAATAACAATTATTGGTTAAAAAAACTGCAAATATAACAGGCATACTAAGCCATACTCTCTTTACCGTTGAATGCATGGTACATCTCCAGCACTGTTTCCTTACTTCCAAATATTCAATAATAAAGAGCATGAGGTAGGAATATCACACTAGTGAACTTTGTAGTTTTCTATACATCATAAAGAATACCATAACAAAATAATATTTCCAATAACATGATAACGAATTCACAACCATGCACATTAGAATACAGCCCATGAGAAGAGAAAGTCAATTCACTACATCCAAGGTATATGCGGGGAACATACTATTGTGTGTAAGACTGCAAGTTAGAATTAACATACATATATGTAAGAAAATATGTGGTAGTTGAATAATATTGATAGGGAGGCTTAAAAGGGAGGGTTGGAAAGTTCCGTACAATGTCACACTAAATCACAAAAACAGTACTTTAAATAAATACATTGTAACATGGGGTTTTTTCTTTTGTTAAACAGATTGTTGTCTGAAAATTTGCAAAACTGCATGGCATTTCATTTCACGTGTACTGACTTTCTGATTTTTGTAACATATATATCATAACTCCGTACAATTATTTTATTTCTTTTTTTTTAAACATCAAGTAAATTCACATTTATAGTACAGCGAATTTATCACTATCAGAAAATATTCTAATAACACAAACTTCATGGAAACCTTTGGCATGGTATATAAAGGTAAGACTATCAATAATATTTAATAAATTGTAGACATATTTTCTAGAAAGTAATCATCCACATCCACATCCACATTCCTCAAGTTATCAGTTACTCACCAATACTCCCGCTCCATCCAGGCAAATACTTTTGACCCTTTCCTTTCCATTCTTCTTCAAAGCCAGCAAGTTCGTCTGCAAAAAACGGTGCAGAACTTTCAGTAATACAAGAGCATATAACCTACAGTAGTTAATGTATCACACAACAAAAAACTAAGTATAAGCTAACAAACCTTCATCAATGTTGTGTAAAGTCTGCATAGTATCCACTTTACCATCGGGATTAAGCTTTCTTGAGAGAGTATGCCCCTGTAAAATGTAAGAAAAAATTTGAATACATAAAATTAAGGGCATGGTAAAAATCACTAAAGAAACACAGCAAATGGTATTCCAAAACCAAACCAGCGAAATATAATATTGCCACCAAAGAGGATACCTTGTCATGCAGGCCTCTAGAAATCCTGTGAGAAGCTTGCCTTGTGGAGCTATCAGCCTCCTTGCTCTCCTCAAGTGTCACCTAACACAGTGAAGATAAAATCAGAAAATAACATTAAGAAAATCCTGGATTTAGTCTAGCTTTAAATCAGCATAAAAGCTTACTCCGTCACTTCCAGTCCTCCTGGTCTTTGATGTAGTATAATATGTTCCATTTGGACCACCATAGCTGACTGTCGAGCTCTGAAAGGAGAAGCTGTGTGTTTGAGGCTGGAGCTCATTTGCATTGAAACTGTTGAATTCATTTCTACCCTGCAAATGTCTGATCTTCTTCCCTGCAGCATGAAACCCCACCCCCAATAAAAATTAGCATAAGCATTAAGCAATATGTAAACTGCAATATTTTAGCGATAGAGCAAAAGCACGAGCACCCACTAGTTAATGCTAAACATATTACCTTCAAGTTCATCATCTGGATGTTCCACAGTGGGTTCAGTGCTTGTTGACCTTCTATGCTTTTTTGGATTTTCTTTCTTCTCTTCGGTCTCATCCTCATTTTCATCATCAGAGTCCAATTGCTGAATGATTGGGCCCCTTCGACTACTAGGCTCCGGAGCACGAGCTTGATGCTCATGAAACACAGATGGATTCATGTCCGGACCAAAAGGAAACCCAGATGGCAGCATATTCTGTGTGAAAGGAAAACCAGGCATCTGCATATTCTGCGCAAAAGGAAAAGTAGGTCCCTGTATTTCCGGAGGAAAAGGAAAACCAGGCCGCTGCATTTCCGGAAATGATGGAAAGCCAGATGGACCGCTCATAATACTTGACTGGAACATCCGTCCAAAAGGGCTGGTGAAGAAGGGGTCGTCAAATGGGTCCCTTCCCCCAAACATACTAGACATCAAACTCCTAGAAGATCCAAAGCCTCCAAAACTATGAAAGTCAGCTAAATGATCCCTGCCACCAGGCCCACCGCGTCCTTGCATCCTGCTATTCAAACTCTTAGTGAAGTAATCACCGAGAGTACAAGACTCATTTAATATTTAACATAATCACAACCGCAATAATGTATAAACCATACAAACAGTAATACTAATAAACGATTCAGTTCAACACGCAATTTTAAAGCACAATTCAATACAAACAAGCCCTTATAATCTTCCAAATAAGTTACAGGAAGCATTTAAGATGACTAAATAGCACCCGCAAATACTGTTAATTAAGTGTCTGTGTGTCAGTATCTGAAACTGACACCGACACTAGTTTTTAATCTATTCATTTTCCGTGTCTGTGTTTTATGGCCATAAAACAGTAATAAAGGATCCAATCCAAACAAAAATTTATAGAACAGTTCTACCTGAACAAACCCTAGTTATAATCTTCCAAATAAGTTGCGTTTTGCCATTTCTTCAAAAACATTAAATACTTCAAAAGTTCGAAAGCGAAAATTCCGTTTCAAATAACAACAGAATCATCCTAATTCATAGAACGATCCAAGCAAAGCAGAACACATTCGCCGATCATCAAACAAAAAATCGATAAACTAAACATCAATTGAACTAGTTGAGTTAAACACAGAGATCGACTAAAAGATGAAAAAATCAGCAAAAAGTGAAAAAACGAAAAGAGATCATCGTGATCGAAATTTGGAGCTCTAGTAAAAAAACAATCGAGAATTGAGAGAAAGATGAGTACCTCGGAAGCAAGGGAAGAGAACGAAGCAAAGCCTCGGAGTAGTGATCAAGTAATTTCGTTTTACAATTCTGCAATTCTTTCTCGTAGACGTAGAACTTTCTAGGATCACCTATTATGTATATGAAAACTTGATGGGCTTTGTTTATATACTTCGAAATAACAAAATGGGCCCAACTATACGCCGCCATTTGTTTATGAAGTTTAATTTTATCAATTATGGTGTGTATATAATAAATTTTGTTTGAAAGATAAAATTTATAATACTGAAGTATATTACTAGTGATAAAAAAAATTATATAAACTTAATGTACAAGTGTAACAAAATATATATATATATATATATATATATATATATATATATATATATATATATATATATATATATATATATATATATATATATATACAAATTGTGTATTTAGCGAAAGCAGGATCGGATTTTTAGTAAAGAAAAGAGGAGTATAGAAGATTGTGAAACAATATTGCAAGAAAGTTCAAACTTGTTATTCAAAGGTGTTCCAAGATGTGTTTACAAATGAAACTTAAATCCCTTTATATAGGGAAGAAAAAGCTTACTATTTAAGCCGGTAACTAAAACTTACAATAGCCGGTAACTTGTATAATTATTGTCGGGTACACTTGGGGCCCATCGTCACAACAATTAACAAGAAACTACAAAAATCACATGCATGTCTAGAAATTATTAAAGACAAGATAAGATTCTTTTTCCCTTGCCTTTTACAAAAGATAGAAAATGCATGTAATTATACCTAGAAATTATTAAAGACAAGATAAGATAAGATTCTTATCCCCTTGTCTTTTACAAAAGATAGAAAATGCATGCAATTATGCCTAGAAATTATTAAAGACAAGATAAGATTCCTTTGTCCTTTGCTTTTGGAAAGATTCTTCTTCTATTATTTCTTGTCCTTTAACCTTTGTCTATTGATTCTTACTTCATTATATTTAGACAAGATAGCAAATTAATTCTTTGCTTTCCTTTTTTCTTTCAAAGATTGAATCATCGCATCCCAGAAATCTTCTGCAGTAGCTTCATCTGCTTGACCTTCTCCTGCTACACCTTCAAAATTATGGGAATCCATTGATCCCATGGAAGAGCTTGTCTTCATAGATGAATCCTCATCTTTTGATGGAAAAGTAGAGAAGAATTGGTTCTTCATATGATCCAAAATTCTGACCATAATTTCGTCTTCTGATTCATTGGGATATTTTCTCTTGAAGAAGTTCTTCAAGTTTTCCATAGACATTTCTTGGGAGCTTTGTTCCTTGACCTTTTTATTCAGGTCTTCAGCTATTGCTTCTTCAATTAATTTAATTTTATTCTGAACATCCTCTGCACTCATCTTGTTCCACCATTTATAAAAGAAATTTCTTTCTAAAATGGGAATGTTAAATTTGTTTCTTGATATGGTGATTGTCCATCTCCATATCCATGGAATCTGAAATTTAATAAAGAACAATAATGGACATTGTCCAGTGATTAAATTATCAGATAAAATATTTACAATAAGTGGACTATTATCACACCATGGATTATATAAGTTAAGAATTTCTTTAGGAAGAATTTCCAAAGATGGACCAAATTTTTAGCCCACCATTCATAAAACCAATTTGGTATGGGTTTATTAACCATTTCTTCATTAATAGAGAAAAACCAAGAATGCTTGTTCTTGGGATTTTGGTAATAAAAGGCTTGAGTGAAAGCCTGGACATAGTCCCAATAATTAAAGTAAATGTACTTTCCTTCCGCAATTCTTATTGCTTTTTCAGCATTTAGGTTGAGACCCCATTCTCTTGGTAACAAAATTTTGTTAATGTGACATTTGCTGAAGTTTATAAAACTTTCAGGATTATTGTTTTTGTAATGGTGAGTAATTGTTACCGATTCGGTAACAGTCAGGAGAATTTCTAGGTTGGGCCTAGATTTTCCATGAAGACCTGGATATCCTCTTGATTCGAGGTATCTAGTTTTGATAGACCATCCATCATTTGGATTTATCTTTATATCTTCATCATCAATATACATGATTTTCTCAGTTACTGGATTTTCAAAATAATCCATTTGTTCTTGAGGTGGGTTATTAACCGCAACTTCCTTGTAGGATGTAGTTTTATTAGAGGAAGAGGAAGCAATATCTTCCCTTTTTGCTGAAGATGCAGGTAATTGCTGCATTTTTCTACCTTTGTAGACAGTAGTCCAATCCCCTATTAGAGGAATGTTTGATTCTGGCTGGGGTAACATATTGTTACTCTCTCTCCCACCGCGGCCATAACCGCGACCTCTACCCCTATATGGGGTCATCATTTTTTCCCTGCAAAAATTCACGAGTTAAATAATCAGCAAGTGAAATATTTTCACCTTTAATGTGTTGAATATCAAATTCAAACATAGATAATTGTGATTGCCAACTAGCAAAAATTTGCTTAGCAACAAGATTTTTAACATCTTTTTCAATAATTGATTTAGCTGAGCTACAATCAATTTTTAATAAAAAATTTTTATTAAGAAGATCATCTTGAAATTTTGAAATGCATTTTATAATAGAAAGCATCTCTTTCTTGATAGTTGAATATTTTGCTTGTGTTGGATTCCATTTTCCAGAAGTAAATCTAACCAAAACTTCTTTTGAGGTTTCAGGTATTATTTGTTTAAGGATTCCTCCATAGCCTAAGTCTGAAGCATCAGTTTCAACAATTTTGAAATACTTAGGATTAGCAAGAGATAAACAAGGCAAACATTTCACCTTATTTTTAATTCTTTGGACTGCCTGAGAATGTTTTTCAGTCCAAGGGCCAGGATTCTTTTTAAGCCTAGCATGTAATATTGCCGTATCTTTAGCTAGATTTTCATAATAATCTGCTATGTAATTAAGGCTACCAAGAAACCTTTGTAATTGTTTCTTATCTGTAATAATATTAGGAAATTTAGAAGCAAATTCAATACTTCTTTATATAGGAATTATAGTTCCTTGGTCAATTTCATGTCCTAAAAATCTAACCTTTGTTTGAAAAAGTTTCATCTTAGGACCAGATATTACTAATCCATTATGCTTAATTAATCCTTTGAATATTTTCAAATGTTTCATATGTTGATCATTAGTTTTTGAAAAAACTAAAACATCATCAATATAAACAATTATAAATTCCGTATAAGGATTAAAAATATCATTCATAATATTTTGAAATTCTGAAGGGGCATTTTTAAGGCCAAAAGGAAGGACATTCCATTCATAATGTCCAAAAGGTACGGTAAAGGATGTTTTATACTTATCAGATTCATTAATCTGAATTTGCCAATAACCAGATTTCATATCAAATTTAGAGAAGATTAAAGCATTGTTTAATCTATCTAAAAGATCTTTTTTATTAGGAATAGGATATCTAATCCATTTTAACACTTTATTAAGTGGTTTGTAATTAATAACGAGTCTAGGAACTCCACGTTTCTTTTCTGCAGCATTATTGACATAAAAGGTTGTGCAACTCCAAGGAGATTTGGATTTTCTTATTAATTTTTTCTCCAAAAGAGATTCTATCTCTTTTTTGCATAAATCCAAATACTCATGATTCATTTGAGCAGACCTAGCTTTAGTGGGAATCTGACTTTCATTAAAGTCATCAAGATAAGGTAAAGAAATAACATGTTTCTTCCTATCCCAAAAGGCATTAGGTAAATCATTGCATATTTCTTCTCTAAAATGTTGATCAATTAATTTAATTTGATTTTGAATTTCAGGGTTTTTTAGTTGAGAAGTGATGTTTAATAAACTCACTTCTTCTTTAAGAAAACAAATTTGTTTTTCTTTTTTAAGAAGAATATCTTTAACTTCATTAATCATCCTAGTATGAGGATCAGTAATGAATTCAAAAGTAATTCTTTTATTATTAATAATGGAGGTAATTCCCTTTTGATCAACATTAATTAGAGGCATAATTTTATGCAGAAAGGGAGTTCCTAATATAATTCTATGAGTTAAGTTTTTCACAAGAATAAAGTGAGTGGGTAAACAAATATCTTTGTTACAAACATAAGCATTAGACAGTTTATAATTAACCGTGAGTTTATCTCCTCCAGCTTGTGTAAGAGATTGAGTAGTTTTATCAAAATACTTAGTGGGAATAATTCCCTCTTGAAGGCAGTTTAAATCAGCGCCACTATCAATAAGGGCAACTTCATTTTCTAATATGAAATTTCTATTAATCACTAAAGTTATTCTAACAAACCATTTTTGGGAGGTCACTCTATCAATGAGGGAAAGGAAATCATCAC